GACCGGCTGACCTTGGGGGTCACTCATCACTTCTCAGCCTATTCTACCTTATAGGGTTGTTGTGGGGATATCAACCACCTTGAGCTCCTTGGAGAATAAGGTGGAATGGAAATGCAGAAAATAAATGCAATGAATGAATGAATGATGCGAGGGAGGTGTCAGTAAAAAGATTTGCAAACCCATTTCCTGCTTCTGGCCAGAAAGCCACTTCCGCCCTACACAGGAGGTGGGGTTGCGGGCGTCACGGCCCCAACACGCGTTCAGCGGCAGGAATCAGCCGCTGCACAATTGGGGGGGGGGGATTCCTGGCCATGTCATCCCCTGGCCAGCCAATCAGCAACCAAGGTGTTCAAGTACCAAGGTACCACTGTATTTAATTGGAATCTCCTTTCTTGTCTGTTGAGTCCACTGGTTTGGGTTCCTCACCTTTGGAGCAGCAAAAAACAAGCTTGCTCCATTTCCCATGAAACTGTGCTCCAGGTATTTGAAGACGGCAACTTCATGAGATGTCCACGTGTTCTAGCATTATGAGAGAGGGAGACCTTTCTCAGTGCCATGCGTTATTTCATAAATATCTTATCAGGCTGCCTCTTGCTTGCTTTTCCTCTGAACTGAAAAGTCCCAATCACTGCAACCTTTCCTCACGGGGAGTACTGTGCAAGGGACAAATCAGCAATTAATCCGACCGGAAACTTGCAAGGCCCCATCAGGACGGGGAACCCATAAGTGATCTGCTGCCATTGCAAGGTCCGTAGCCTCAGTCAAGGCCCCAGGGAGAGTCAAGACCTTCTGCAAAGGACAAGTCACTTCCAGGCTCTGCTGCATCTGAGAACTTTGCTCCGCGTTCTGCCTTCCTGGGCAAAGCGCAGCTCCTGGGATGCCTCTGCGTCCGGGAACAAGAGAGGTGGCCCCTCACCCGTTGCTCTGAACCTTTGCCCTTTCCCTGTCAAGACATGCAGGGTGAATTACAGTTAAACCCCAGAGGCTGACCTCATGGAGCAGCAGGGCAAGAGGCCTGCGAAGAAATGGGGTCACATTTCTCTGGCTGCTATTTTGGGAGTCCGCTGTTCCTTGCTGGCGCTCCCTGCGCACTCCTTTGCAACACTGACCAAGCGGCAGGGGGGCAGGGGGGTCATGGCCTCTGGGTGCCTGCAAAGAGTCCCTCCCTGTTGCAGGACGCAAGGGGGTCCGAGTCAGGTGCTCAGTCTGCAGGCGGAAGGGAGATGCAGGGCAGGTGCTGGAAGGCAAGCTCCGTTGCATGGCGAGCTCCCGCCCGCACAGTGGAAATAATGACACATGACACCATTAGTACAGGTGATGAGCGGTATTGGCTTAGGCATTGGTCCTAACCGACTATATCCGACTTCAGCCCGTTCCCCTCTTAAACAGCTCTTCCCAACAGAGAGTTCTTCCTAATGTTTAGTTGGAATCTCCTTTCTTGCGTAGCAAGTCCCCCCCGCTCCTAGTGGAAATAAAGACACATGACACAATTATTAAGTTTAATGGGCTAAAAAAGGCTACAACTTTACAGTGGTGCCTCGCAAGATGAAATTAATCCGTTCCGCGAGTTTCTTCGTCTTGCGGTTTTTTCATCTTGCAAAGCACGGCTATTAGCGGCTTAGCGGCTTTAAGAAAAAGGAAACAAACTCGCAAGAACTCGCAAGACATTTCGTCTTGCGAAGCAAGCCCATAGGGAAATTCGTCTTGCGGAACGACTCAAAAAACGGAAAACTCTTTCGTCTAGCGAGTTTTTCGTCTTGCGAGGCATTCGTCTTGTGGGGCACCACTGTATTGGTTACAGGTAATGAGCGGTATTGGCTTAGGCATTGGTCCTAACCGACTATATCCGACTTCCGCTTGAAGTCCGGGAAGGGTTAACCACCAGTAGGGGGAGTCCTAGGGATGCACATCAACTAGGAACTCCCCCGGGGTCACCGCCAGGGGGCGTGCCTTAGGCCCTCGCCCCCTAGGCTTCGGACAGGGCCACGCCCCCCGGAATCCTTTACCGGACTACCCTTCAATATGTGGGGCAGGTGATGGCGCTTCCTCCCCTCTTCCATCTACAGAGCAATACCAATGCCTAACCGCCAATACCCAGAAAGTTGTGATGATTTGCTACGAGGTGGGCGAAAACCAAGTGGCTGGTGCCAATTTGCCAAGTGGAAAAATTCCTACCAGGCCCCTCAATGGCGACCAACCAAGGTCCATAGCAAGGTCAAAGAACAAAACCTTAAAGGTCAGGAGGGTGGGAAACAGGAACAGCTGGTAAGCGGCAAAGAGGGAGATCCCTGGCCACGTCCTGCTTTAAATAAGGTGGGCCACACCCCCAGAGCCAGCCAATTGGCTGGCCAGGAGGTGACGTGGCCGGGAATCCCCCCAATTGCGCGGAGGCTGGGTTCCAGCCGTTGCGCGCATGGTGGGACCATGAAGCCCGCAACCACACCTCCTCTGAAGGGCAAAAGTGGCTCTCCCAAACAAAATGGCTCCCGAGCGCCGCAAACCCGGAAGTAAGTGTTCCAGTCTGCAAACATTTTTGGAAGCTAAATGTCCGACGCGGTTTCCGCTTCAGTGCAGGAGGCTCCTGCATCCAATTGGAAGCCGTGTCTTGGCTTTCAAACCATTTCGGGAGTCGAGTGGACTCCCGGAATGGATTAAGTTTGAAAACCGAGGTACCACTGTATTAGGAAGAGTTTTCTGGCAGTAACAGCTGTTCAATAGTGGAACAGTCTCCCTCAGAAGGTGGCAGCCTCTCCTTCCTTGGAGGTTTTTACGCGGAGGTTGGATGGCCATCTGTCATGGTTGCTTTAGTTGACATTCCTGCATTGCAATGGGATAGACTAGATGACTCTTGGGGGCTCCTTTCCAACTCTACAATTCTATTGTCCTATGAAATGTTGTGAGTAAATGTAAAAACCTTGTTGATTACAATAATGACATTAGCCCTCCCTCAATGTGGTGACCTCCAGATGCTTTGGAGGGCTGGGATTGCTGGCTGATGGGGGCTGGGGTCCCATAACATGGTTGGGGGCAGGAATGGATGACCCTTGGCATCCCTTCTAACTCTACAATTCTGTGACTCTATGAACATCTGGAGGGGACCACTTTGGGGGAGACTGGCATAAATTAAACGCCTTCTCTCCACAGCAGGAAACAACCACCCTGTCCTTGTCCTCGTATTATATAATAATAATAATAATAACAACAACAACAATAAATTTATTTATACCCCGCCCTCCCTGGCCAGAGCCGGGCTCAGGGCGGCTAACACCAAAATAATCACAGTAAAAACATAATGGGGGGGGGGGACCAATTTAAAATACAGGTTAAAATGCAATTTAAAATGCAGCCTCATTTTAAAAGTGGCCCATAGGTCAAAACCATAAGGGCAGGGAAAACATAAGGGTCAGACTGAGTCCAAACCAAAGGCCAGGCGGAACAGCTCTGTCTTGCAGGCCCTGCGGAAAGATGTCAAGTCCCGCAGGGCCCTAGTCTCTTGTGACAGAGCGCTCCACTAAGTCGGGGCCAGTACTGAAAAGGCCCTGGCCCTAGTTGAGACCAATCTAACAACCTTGCAGCCTGGGACCTCCAAAATGTTGTCATTTGTGGACCTTAAGGTCCTCCGCAGGGCATACCAGGAGAGGCGGTCCCGTAGGTGAACTTTGCTGTGGCTGCAACCTGCACCTCCATGGAAAGGGAGGCGTCGAAGGTTACACCCAAGCTCTTGACAGAAGGTGCTGGCACTAATCGAGCCCCCGCAAGAGATGGGAAGCCCAAACAGCGACTTAGTGGCTCAGAAGCTCTGAGGTTCAGAGGGAGGGCCTTTTTGGGCCAGCAAGCCTGGGCACTTGCCCTGGATAACCCAGCGTCCAACGAAGCCCACCAGCTGGCCTCCCATGCCCCAGTTGTGCCTCTTCCAGTCTGCTCAGTGACTTTTCGGGGAGCGGTAAGACGATTCCGGCCGGCAGCCCACAGCCCACTGCCTCTGGCCTGCCAGCCGAGACACGCAAGAGGGAATTCCATTATTCAGTATTAGAGAGACGCAAGACACAAAACGGCCCGGAGGCTGTTTCCTGCTTTTAAAATATACATGGGTGTGTGTTTGCGCGCTGGCAGGTGTACCGGCCGAGGCTCGCAAGCAGAGTGTGTGTGACAGCTTGGGAAGGCAGGGAGTTCTCGTCCTGGCAGGGCCTAAGTGCCGGCTGGCTCTCTGCAGCAGACACGTCAGGAAAACAGAAAGAGACGGGACCGTAAAGGACTGCCAAGGTCCAACGTTTGGAGAGCGGGTTGTGCTGGGCTGATATCTTCTGAGGCTGCTTTATTCTTGCCTCATTTCCAGAGAATTGCAGAGTCAGAAGGAACCTTGAGAACATAGCTGTCAACCTTCCCTTTTTTTGCAGGAAATTCCCTTATTCCAGCGCCGTTTCCCGCTGCTTCCCGCTGCCATCCCGGATTGTTAGATATCCCGTAGACTGTCCCCAGGACAGGTGATCCTTTATTTTCAAATTTGAAAGTTGACAGCTATGCCTGAGAATCACCTAGCGTAGCCCCTGAAATGCAGGAATCTCAGCTAAAGCGTCTAATGATAATAATAATTTTGTTATTTATACCCCGCCCATCTGGCTGGGTTCCCCCAGCCACTCTGGGCGGTTCCCAGCAGAACACTAAAAACGGATTAAAACTTCAAACAGGACTAACAGGGTGGCCTTCAGATGTCTTCTAAAAGTCAGATAGTTGTGTATTTCCTTGAAATCTGATTGGAGGGCATTCCACAGGGCGGGCGCCACCACCAAGAAGGCCTTCTGCCTGGTTCCCTGTAGCCTCTCTTGTTGCAGTGAGGGAACCGCCAGAAGATCCTCGGAGCTGGACCTCAGTGTCCGGGCTGAATGATGGGGGTGGAGACGCTCCTTCAGATGGCCACCCAACCTCTGCTTAAAAACCTCCAAGGAAGGAGAACCCGCCACCTTCCGAGGGAGACCCTTCCACTGTCAAACAGCTCTTAGAAAGTTCTTTCTGATGTTTAATCAGAATCTCCTTTCTTGTCACTTGAAGCCATAGGTTCAGGTCTGCAGAAAGCAGCCTTGCTCCATCTTCCATGTGACAGATATTTGAGATATTTGAAGATGGCTCTCATATCTTCTCTCAGTCTCCTCTTCTCCAGGCTAAACATACCCAGCTCCTTCAACCATTCTTCATCAGGCCTGGTTTCCTGATCATCTTGGTCGCCCTCCTCTGCAACCGTTCCAGCTTGTCAACATCCTTCTTTAAATTGTGGCGCCCAGAATTGGACACAGGACTCCAGGTGGGATTGTCGAAAGGAGCCAGGGAGTGGAGCCGGATGCCCCCTGAATATTGAGGCGGCTCAGCTACCTCAAAAATGACAATTGGGGGGGGGGTAACTGCCTCAACTATGGTTTCCCCAGTAGTGATGTATGGAAGTGAGAGCTGGACCATAAAGAAGGCTGATGGCCGAAGAATGGATGCTTTTGAATTCTGGTGCTGGAGGAGACTCTTGAGAGTCCCATGGACTGCAAGAAGATCAAACCGATCCATTCTGAAGGAAATCAGTCCTGAGTGCTCACTGGAAGGACAGATCCTGAAGCTGAGGCTCCAAGACTTTGGCCACCTCATGAGAAGAGAAGACTCCCTGGGAAAGACCCTGATGTTGGGAAAGATGGAGGGTGCAAGGAGAAGGGGACGACAGAGGACGAGATGGTGGGACAGTGTTCTCGAAGAGACCAGCATGAGTTTGACCAAACTGCGGGAGGCAGTGGAAGACAGGAGGGCCTGGTGTGCTCTGGTCCAGGGGGTCATGAAGAGACGGACACGACGAAACGACAACAGCAAACTGCCTCAGCCCCTAGGAGTTGGCCTGCGTGCTTCTGGCCTTTCTTCTTTAGAGGAGAAAGCGTTCCTGCCAAGGGGAAGGCAAGAGACGCACCTGGCTGCTGGCGGGCAGGCAGGGGGCATCAGATGGATCCCTTGCCTTGCATCCTGAGGATTACGCTTGCTCTCAGAAATGCCCCCCCCTGCCCACAGCACAATCACGGCACCTGCAGCCCCCGACTCCAACCTCTCCATGGGGCATTGCAGCAGAGCTGATTGGCAAAGATTAGCGCCAGAGTTGGAAGCAGGGAGGGCGGGAGGGAGCTGAGAAAGTCAAATCGCCCTCCCTCTGCTTGAATAATGACGGAGCCTAATTGCTTATTGCTGGTTACTAAGCTACGGGATGGCAGCCGCTCGGACACCCATCAATATATTAACCCCGGCATGCAGCCCGAACAAGCTCATTCATTTCCAAGGGTGTTTATCTCCCTCCTTGCCTCCGTTCTCTGGGGAGAAAACATAATTATTATTTAAATGTGAGTTAATTCAGCCAAGGTGTTGATCAATAGTGGAGAATTACTCGTTTAAAAATAGAGAAATCACCAGGCGAGGAGAGGCGCATGCGAGACCCAGGGAGGACTCAATTATGGAGAAGGGACTCAAAAGAAGAAGGCGAAAAACAACAACCCCACAGCAGGTTCGAGGCAAGTTCTGTCAGAGCCCAGCCTCTGTCTCTAAAAGGGGCAGAACTTCACCATCATCATCATATTTATATGCTACCCATCTGATTGGCTTGCCCCAGCCACTCTGGGCAGCATCCAACAAATTTTAAAACCACAGTAAAACACCTGCAAAATCCCAACCTATTCGAACTCCTAATAGTTCTTGGATTTCCCTCTTTTTTGGACCAGGAAATGCATTTACAGGACTTTTGCTACCACCATACACCACACCATTAGAACGTAAGAGGAGATGTCCTGGATGTGAATGATGCTCTCTTCTGCTTACCCCAAATGAGATGCCCTGGAGAGATTCACAAACTGGACACCAAGGCAAAATCTGCCTACGCCCATTGACAACCGCATCCAATAGGCTAAGCTGTTTCTAAAGGCAGTGATTGCATTTTAGGCTGTCATAGCTAAAAGACTGCATCCTCCATGTAGTTATCTAATGCTCTTTCCTTTTTTTTTTAAAAAAGACATAGAATCACAGAATTGGCGAGCCCTCTGGACATCCAGCAACTATGAGTTCCACATATGTATCCCTGGAATATTGTAATATGCAAGCTGTTTGGAACGACTCGCCCACAGCTAAGACATCTTTCAAAAATAAAAACAAAACGAAGTGTGCTAGCCTGCGTCTCTTATTTTTTCAACATGAAACAAAACAGAACAACCCTCTTTTTTAAAAAAAGAAATACACAAATAAAACCCAGTAAAATCAGTGCAGTGATCAGTATGAACCATATTAAGGGATGTCTTCATTGGGGGGCCAGAATGCCCCATAATTGGCATTTGCCTGATCGAAACAGGGAGAGAGCATACCCTTGGCTTCTCCACTAGATGGACCTCGGAGGGCCCCATCCGCAGGGATTTCAGCTACTCCAGAGTTGCAGCAAGTTCCCCTCTTCAGCCATGGAGAGAAGCTGTGAAGTACTTGGAAGAAATTGTGGAATATCCCTACACGGACACAACCCTGCTCTTTAGCTGCTAGCTCTCTGGTGTAGAAAAACACCTTGTAATCCACCATGCAATTGACTTTTACTCTTTTTACACAAGCCATGTGAGTAAGGAGTTGGACACCTGGCCAGGTGGCCACCTGGATGCTTCACCATGTGTCACAGAAAAGCTCAGATTCAGTCAACTCGCCCCCCAGCACTGTCTTGGAGTGTCTTTGCTGGGCAAACAAGAAACTGCCTTGGCCATTCGTCCTGCAGAAATCTCTTGCTCTGGCTTAGGCCCAGAATATCTGAAGGACCAAATTCTTCCAGACAGATCTGCCTGGGCTCTGCGATCTTTGAGAGAGGCACTTTCCTAGATGCCGCCACCCTCACAAGCATGCTGGGCGAGGACAGGGGACAGGGCCTTCTCGGTGGTGGCTCCCAGACAACTTTGGGACTCCGAAAGAAGCCAGACTGGCTTCCTCCTTGTCTTTCCACCAGCAAGCGAAGACTGTTTTATCCTGACAGGACCTTTGGGAACTGATTGTTTCTTTTGAGACAGGGGCTTTCAAATCACACCATGGTGTTTTTATGGTCTGTGTTTTAATAGATTTGTTTTTATATTGTTTCAACTTAGAGTTGACTTGCCTTTTTTTATAGGTGTTTTGATTTTTGTGTTTTGATCTGTGCTGCTTTACATTGTCTGTAAGCCACCTTGAGACCTGGTCTGGGGAAAAGCTGGAATATAAATAAGTAGTAAAATAACCATAAATCTCCCACTGATGTTGGGATAGAGAGGAGGCAACTACTTACCCTGCTGGCTGTGCCTCTGAGCATAAACGACCACCACCGCAGCTAGCACCACGTAACACGCTGCCGACACAGGGTAAGCCATCTGCAGGAGCAAACACACAACAGCGAGGGGTCAGTGGGACCAAAACCTGAGAGGAAGGGAAGAAGGAAGCAATAATCAATAAGAAATGAGCTCACAAATGGTTGCAGCATCACAAGAACTGGGCAAAACAGCTTCAACCCTGGTTCTCTTTCCTTTTCTCACATGGCTGGCAAAGGCCAGTGGAGAGATCTGCCTGTCACCGCCCAGTGCCACGGTCAGGATTCGAACCCGTGTCTCCCAGGTCTTAATTTGATTCAGAGGTGCTGCAGCTGGCATCCGACTGCATTCCCTTTGACTTGTCCCTCTTGGCAACCCACATGTCCCCACGTGTTGCGTCACCTGAAAATGCGCGCTCCATCTTCGCAAGATTAGAGGGAAGGGCATTGTGTGGTCAATACCAAACCGTGGCGTTCTCCGCGAACCCCAAAAGATGCCAAAAAGATGCCCTCTTGGATTGAGGGCTGAAAACCAAGAAACCTCAAGGAGAGAAGAGGGATGCTGAGCTAACTACTTGCGTAGACCAGACTTTCCCCATCTTGGCGCCTTCTGGATCTTTGAACTACAACTCCCATAAGCCCCAGCCAGTGAATCACTACTGTCTGCTCCAGCAGAGCTGTGTTGGCAGAGGCTGATGGGAGTTGTAGTGCAAAAAAGGGAAAGCCCAACCTTCTGCAATGTGGAAATCATGCCCCCAGCTGTCTCTGGGTGGGCTTGAACCACCAAACTTCTGGTAGTGGCCCATGAAACAGGCAGAGGCAAGGAAAGGAATGATCTGTTAGGCTGATGAGAGTTGTGGTGCAAAACAGGAAGAAGGCACCAGGTTGGGAAAAGCTGCTCTATAGGAAAGCCAGATAAACCGCTCTTTAGTGCTAAATTGGAACAAACAGCAATTTGGGTTTTCTCCGGGTGAATGTTTGCCTCCAATTTAGCACTAAAGAACAGGTTTTCCCTGGGAAAGGAGAAAGCTGCTTGAACCCGTGCTTTGGGGGCCTGAGGCCTGCAGAAGTGTGGATAAGCTCTCAGAGGCTAACATGCATAATCAGGGAATAATATTAAAAATAGAAATGAGAGAGAAAACAGAACGGTTCAAAACTAGCAGAGGAACAGGGAAGAAGAGATTTCTCCACAAAGCTCCTAGGTTGACCCCCCCGCTCCACCCCCCCCCCAAAAAAATCAATGTTTTCAGAAGAAATGGCTCTTCTTTTGCGTTGAGTGAAAATGTCACAGAAGGAGCGGAAATGGAACACCTCGTGTCTAAATGTTTCACTTCTTGTCAATTGGCGGCACTTCAAATTGCTTCTACAGGCTTGTTTTAAAAGAGAATCTTTGCAGCGGTGTTCAGGATAAAGCGACCACTGTCACAATCCGGAGCGTGGATGAGAGCGAGTCGCGTGGAAGGCGAGGGGGGTGGCAAGTGTGCGCACAACTGGCAGGCCAGCTCCACGAAGGGCCACTGCAGGAGAGGCAAAACCTATCGGTACCATCGCCTCTGGGTTCCTCCGGGCTGGTGGCAAAGTTTGTAGCAGGACTCATGCAACACGTTGGCGACTAATATACACACAATAATTACCAAAATGATTATGCATTCTTTATCAATCTTCTGAGAAAAATACAAAACCTTGTGCAAAGCCACAGAGACTTGAGAACTACCCACCCTAAGATGAACTTATAATGTCTGATTTCAATAGATTTTTCAGGTGCTTAACTCAGTCTTTTGTTTTCTTTATCTTTTTAGGTAAGTTCACGAAGATACCAACAAAAGGTAAGTTTGGTGTTGTTCACAATACCAAGAGATGCTAGTGAAGT